AACGGCCCCGTAAATATTAAAATGAAATGAGTATTTAAATATATCAAATGCGGAAGCGAGATCAAAATTTCAGTTAACATCCCTTACACGAAAAACCGGAAACGTACTTAAAATATAAAAGATTAAACTAACTAAGAGAGAAACTCGAAAATAAAACTATGAGTATGACTACAGAGTCTCTAGGTATCCCCTTCGTCGTCCTCCTGCGGAACGGGCTCGGGAACCATGTCTTCCTGATCTGAAATGGTTAAATAAGGAGTGAGCTACACTAGCCCAGTAAGAACATCACGATATCTCACCGTCACGGAGGTAAAGGTGGGTAGAAAAACACAAAAGACCAATGGAGCATAATTTACAATAAAACCTTTTATCAATAATAAAACTTTTACCATCCACTTACCTTGGTGGAATTTATGAAAACAATATGAGAAAAACAATAACATCATCATAATCATTGAATAATCTAAGCTGTAAAACATAACACTTATCACGCCTCTTGTAATTCAATCATTGTACAACATATCTTTTTCTCATTTACCAGCCTACTAGTATCCGTGGGGGTCCATAGGAGTTCCGCTACCCGTTAACCTTTAACATTCATAATCAGTTTCCAGGGCCGTCCCCATACCCCGTCCGGTATGGGCGCCAAAACCATAAACCTCAATACCCCGTCCGGTATGAGGGTGAAACGGGCCGTCCCCATACCCCGTCCGGTATGGGCGCCAAAACCATAAACCTCAATACCCCGTCCGGCATGTGAGACCACAATCCCGGTAGGGTTCCCTACGGACCCGGTCCGTCCACCATCTCCCAGGATATCTAGTCAGGCTGACCCCCATAATACAATTATCAGTCTATACAATCTTTCATTTTCCTTTTCCTCAATCAACATCATCAATTCACATTTAAACAAGCAAATCGTAATTCATACCAACAGACAACATACAATATCAGTTTTTCAGTCATTCAACCCATAATTAATAAAAACGTAGTACATGCACACAAATCTGTAAAATGAACACATCAAACCTCATTTTGCATTTAAAGCTGTAAACAGGCCAAATAACAGTAAATCATCAATCACACTAGACTCGGGCTCCATTAGCAACCTTAAGCAATTTCACACATGCGTTAATTCAAGAAATACCGTTTTATCATTTTGAACTTTAATACCGTGATAGGAAATAGGGTGAGGGGTCCTTACTTGTTTTCGAGATCCGAATACGATTCACAGTGCGCCTGCAGGCTGTCCCTAATTTTCCCTGAATTTTTCTCGGGGAACTGAAACACACTAACAGTACCTGCACGTGTTCCAAAAAAATTCCAAATTAGGCCCAGGGCCCCTTTCGGACCAAATCGCAACTCCGGCACGGCGGCTCCGCCGTGCTCCGGCGACGGCGCCGCCGCTGGCGGCGGCGAGTCGCCTCGGGTTGACTGTTTTCGGCCGTTTTCGGCCGAATTCGGCCACACTCGCATTGGTCCTTGTCAGAAAACAACCCTAGGGCCCTCGGGGGGCCAAAAATCACGGAAAAAACGGAGCTTACCGGCGGCGGCGCTCTCGGGTGCAGCGGCTCTCCGGCGAGGTTCGTGTTTTGGTGATTCGGCTCCGGTCAACCTGTAGAGAAAAGAATGGTGATCACGGTGATATAAAAATTGCATCGAACGGAGGCCGGGAAGGGCCTCGTCGGA